ATTATTGTGAACTGTAAATAGATGCACTTTTAAAAGGCCAGATATTAACTACGGCATGCAGCCGTTACAAGCAGCATGTTAAATGACTGTTATTTAAAGTATCCCCGTGGGATAACATATGAGTCATGTAACAGCTGCTAAATTTAACATCAGCCAGCTATGCTGTTGTCAGCATTATAACAGCTAAGGTTACTCATAGTAATTCTGCTCTGTTATTAACATTTATATGTTATGCTAACACTCACGAACTGTTTAACTCTTAAAGTACTCCGATAACATGCTGTTACTAGCAATTGTATATAATGTTAATTAGCTGTGCATATAACCGTTTCTTTTACTTGTTGTTATATTAAGAATAAAGCTGCAACTAATATTAGTTCTCTACGTCTTAATAAAACTATTTTTAGACCAACTCGTCAGCTATAAACACATTTATATAAAGTCAATAAAAGGCTACTCCAAATGGGCACAAGCTGATGCCTAAAAGTTATTAAGCGCTCAGCGCAAGTGTATTAAAATTGGCATTCCCAGTTAAGTAGCATGGGCGCATTACGCTGCGAAATGGATATGCCTTGGAATCCATTCAAACTGGCCTGACCCTGTTCTGGTGCACCACTAAAAAAGCTGGAGATGAACAAACCGGTTGTCAGCGGCAACAGCAAGCACAGCAAGAGGAGTCGAACCCGCTAGCACGCTGCTACGCCCGACGCAGCATCAGGCCGAGAGATTCGTGCAACTTGCAGTTGCATTTGTGGCTTTCAGGTGCATGCGGGCCACACAAAATGGCTAAAAAGCTGACCAACAGCTACCGCAAATGACATTCGCCACTGCTGCACAATCTGGTTTTCTGGATATCTTTGGGGTATTTTATACCCTGTAACCATTAAAAATGGATTAAAAGGGGTATGCTCGTTCTGTGCGTATATATGGAACAGACGGGAGGAGGAGACTTAAGTTATTGAAGAGCTTTAATAAATTTTTGCTCTATAAACCACTTACATAGCTCTTCGAAAGAAATATCACAGAAATAATTTTAGTTAATTTTTTTAAAGATAGATATTTGCTTTTGTGCACTCTCGATGCGGGGACTTGTTTTCTTGCAATTCTTTTTCAGCGCGTAATTTGCATTCCAAACTAAAGTCCAAAATGAGGCCATTTAAATTTGTTGACTGATGTTTTTCACCTTCAAAATTCACGGCCAGTAACATAGCACCGCCCATTGCCCCACCCCTAAATGTAAATGGACGCCTTTCATAAACTATGTGAATCGGTGCATTTAACAGCGCGTACGTGCTGTAAATCTAGTTCAGGCTGCAAGCGCTGTTAAATTGATAAGCCCGTTAGCTCTGATAAGGCAGCCTCTTTAATTGGCATCAGTCTGATTGTATACACACCCACACACACGCACACACACACACAGAGAGAGACAGTCGTAAATATTTGCTGCTATTAATAAACATGTTGTTTAATTTGTTGCTTTCATTTGATGCACGTCGTTTGTTCAGTGGGCCACGCACTTAAACCAATTGACATTTTGTGCACACACACACACACACTCGTATAGATATATATATAATTTGAATTTTATTTTTGTTGCTTTTGCTGCACGCGAGAAAAATGCCCAACAAAAATTCCAAATGATGTCATTTGCCAGTTGTTAACGCTTTAAATAACACATTGTACTACACTTATACAGAACAAAATTAGAGAAAAGACAAAAAGTAATTGCCTAATGCACCGCATTCCTACACTAAATACACAACAAGAGGTGTATTGCCTAGAGTACTTTATTAAAAGGCTCTGTTAAATGAACATTACATTGACATATAATCAATATATTGTCTTGAAATATAAGGCGAAAAGTATTTATATTTCATTAAATATATAACATTTATATATAACATAACAGAAACTGTACAGAAAAAAATATAGCAACTCTTACTGCTAACGCAACATTCGCAAGTGAAAAGAGCTGTTAAATAACAGCAATGCATATCTGTTAAGTCGCAATCGTTTTGCTTAACATATTTAGGCAAATATTCAGCAATGTTACACTTTAACATATGTATTGCCGCATGTTAACAGCAATTAAATTGAATTGGGGCGAGTTCGCGTTAAATACCTAACATAGTTATACAATTATTCAGCTAAATTTAATGTCTCTCCAATGTTAGTCATCGCCGAAAAGGCATTTTACTAAGTGGTTGATTTTCTACAGCTATTCAGGGCCAGGCAACAAACATTTATGTTAGTTCGTTGCGCACAGGAAGCACCTGGGGGAAACGTAAAATGAAATGGCATATTAAGGATATGCCACAAGTGGCTGCGTCAGCTGAGGCGGAAACTCGAGGCTTCCGTGCTGACACGCACACAAACAGGCATGTGTGTGTGTGTGTGTGAGTGTGTACCTGGCAACAGGTGTGCCTGGACTGGGACTAAATGTTAGCTGATAAAACAAAACAAAAACTAAAATAAGCCAGCAACAACTGGCCATGTAATGCGCTATCAGCGACGTCGACTCACCTGATAATACGAATCCGACATGTTTTTGTGTAGTTGTAGTTGTTCTTGTCTCCGTTGAATCACTCGTTAAGCGCTGCTGTTGTTGTTGTTGTTGTTGTTGTTGTTATTGCAGAGTTTAGTATATTAGTTTGTAGCTGTGTTGTCGCCCGTCAGAGTTGAGAGTCACACACACACACACACACACGCACACACATATACTAAACGCATACGCACGCACACAGACAGACGACCAACGCACGTCGCGTTCTTTCGTTATATTTCGTTTCGTTTGGTTTGTTTACTTTTGCTCCAAAAATTATGTATATGTCGTGTATCCAATAAATTATTGTGAGTATTATTTTGAATGCTAACGATTAAGTGTTAGTAAGAATCAGAGAATTTGACAGAAGGTACTGCTATTTAACATAACTGTCCTACTTGTATTAGGGTTGCTACTGAAAGCATGGTGTGAGACAAAAAAGATAGTCTCTGCCGAGCATGGCCCGAGTGTGTTGTATAACGTCCAGTTTGCTATAGTGTTGAATGTTCACTAACAGTACTAAAAGTCAGAGAAGAATATAGAATGACAAGAGCATGAGTAGTATGCTCGAGGACGATGAAAATTATTCATTCTAAAAGTGGAAGTCATAGAGAACAGACGTGCTCGCTCCTAAAAATATAATTATTTTGTGACTATAACGACACTCGGGACTTGCTGTGCTGCCAGTATGCCTAATTGCAAAGAAAGTGATTTCTCTGTTCCGACATATATATATGCTGTTCACACTTGCAACACCTGATGCCAAAATAACTGTGCTTTTATAGCGAGCGAGCGAGCGCACTATCTCTCTCTATCTTTCTGCTCTTTGCTATCGATATTGAATAGAACTTTCGTTCAGGTTTTATTATAATTCTAGTTGTTGTTGTTGTTATGGTAACATTTCAAATGTGACGACAATGCAAACACGCAAACAGGTGGCACAGCGAGAGAGAGAGAGAGAGAGAGAGAGCGAGGTAGAGAGTGCCTGACAATTGTTGCTGAAAACAAAAAGCAGATGGCGGCTTATTGTTATTGCATATTATCCGCAAATATTATGCATATTTCGGGGGAAAAAAAATTCACACAGCTTCTAACAATAACAAAACACACACAGCAAACGCAAACAGTTGTTGTTTGCGGGCTGCCGAGGCTGCGGCTCGGAGGGGTTGGTGGGGGAGGTACGCTTCCATAGAAATTAGCTTCAATTGACCATTTTGTGGATTTAATTGAAAATTGTGTGTGCTGTGCTGTTGCTTTTTATTGATGCGGCTGCAACTGCTGCCGCTGCTGCTGTTCTTACTGCAAGCTATAAATAAGCAATAGCTTGTGGGCAAGCGGGGTGCAGCGCCATAATCGGCAAACGAAGCAAGAGCTGCAAGCGCAAGTGGCGGCAAAAAAAAAAGCTGTTCGCGCAGCTAAATGGAATTATGCTGCTGCGCCCTGCTCGCTCCTTCGTTCGTTCCCGCGCGCACACACACACATACACATGCACATACACGGTGAGCACACGCAACGGTTCCAGTACCGGTTGCATTGTAATGGCGTCTAAATAATGAAGCACCTTGAAATAAATACACGGCCAAGATTGTTTAAACATTAATCGCAACGCACAAAAACAGCTTTGCGCATACATACGCATCCGCATATGCATATGTGCTTGATATCTTCCTCATCTTCTTTATCTTATACGAAATTTCACTCGTATTTGTACATTTTTTATAATTGTAAACTCGCTCTCGCTCTCCCTCACTCACTCACTCACTCACACACGCACGCTCGCACGCACGCACACTCGCATACAAATTGCGCTGCTCAGATCAAATTCTTTGCTGTCTGCGCTTGCTGCTGCTGCTGCTGCTGCGTTGTCGACATTTTGCTTGGTTTTCTTTTCTTGTTGTGCATGCTGAATGCAAAAAACACTAAAATTTATATTTATCACGTACACTTAGTATTCAAATCATAACGCTTGTTTTTAGTGTTGTACTTTTAATAGTTGCATGCAATAAAATAGACACTCCGTTGGGTTTTTTAAACGAAAATATGTGAAATGGTTAAAAACACAAAACGGCGACGACACGACGTTCGAGCATATAACCAGTGTGACCGCCAACACGAAATGCTCAAATAACCAACAGCAACTTGTACAAGAATTGCCCAAAAAATACTAGCGCGCAAATATGCCGAAATCCGCGAACTAACTTTTGAAAATATTTTGTTTTCTATAATAGACTTTAAAATATAAATATAATATATATAAATTTACGTATGCATATATAATATTTATTTATAATGTTCCAAAAATCTAGTTTCCGTTGCCATTTCAATTTCGCAGTAGCTTGTCTTATCGAACAGGGCTGCATCGCAGAATACCGCTAGCGATGGCAAATTTTAGAGATCGGTTCGAAAATCTACTGCAGCTGCTAGTTTGACTGCGACTTGTTAATTTAAAAGCAGAGGATATTTAAATAAGTATTTTTATTTATCATAGGTTGTATTGATTAAACTAGACCGCTGGTTTCTTGGGCAGCGAACCGAACGCTGATATGACGGTGCCCTTGGTGCCAGTCACGGTGGTGGTCAATGCAGGTAATGTTGCCTTTGCCGCCGGCTGGTCCCACTTCGATTTGCTGCAATAGAAACGCAATTGGAGAATATTTACGGTTAAAGATTAGAGCTAAACATACCGCTTCTTGGCCTCCTCCTCCACTTTGCGTGCCAGCGCCGTCGCCTGCTCCACCTTGTCCATCTCCTTGCGATCCTTTTGCCGCTTGACCATCTCAGTTTTCTGAACTGCGGACAACGCTTCGTAGTAGCTCTCCTCGCCCCACTGCAGCGGATCGTAGATTTCTGGCGGATAATTGGTGCCGAATTCGTTGATGTCACAGAAACTGATCAGCTTCTCATAAATGCTGGGATTGCGAAACTCCTTGCGATCCTGAATAACACGATTCATGTCCATATTGGTTTGCCGCATTTTCGTGTACATTTTCGTGATCTTAGCCACCAGTTCCGGCGGCGGATGGCCTTTGGGCTCTGGCGGCAATTGAAACTTATATTTGGCATATTTGGGATCCTTCTCGTAGCTCTCCGCCGAGCGATCGTCCGCATTGTATGTGTTGGAATCATCGTCGTCCAGCTGCATGGGCGTATCTGCGCCGCCTTCCGGTTTTACGTTGTTTTTCTCTTTGCCATTTTCGTGCTGCTCACTCTCTAGTTCCGAGCTGGCACTCTCACTGGATGACTCCTCTTCGCTGGACTCCTGTGCCCGGTCATCCTCCTCGTCGGAGATCAACGTATCGTCCTGGTAGCTAACCAAACGTCGCAGCTTCTTGGCGCGTTTCTTTTTCTTGTATTTCTTCTCGGGCTCCGGCTCCTGCTTGACGGGCGTAACTGGCGTTGGTGTGGCTGGCTTTGGTATTATTACCTGTAATTTATTTGGATTTAGTATATAAATTAAATACGATTTTTCATTTTACCTGTGACGCTGTGGAGTTTTCTGAATCCGGACTGGCGTCGCCTTCGTTTTCTGAGTCCGTGTACTGTGCCGTCAAACTGGCCAGGGCGGAATGGCTCATTGTGTTTTAATATTTAATTTTAGCTATGCACCAATTCTTTAAACAATTAAATAATTATTGCAATTTGTTTCTTAGTGCTGTCTACTTCATTTAAATTTGCCATTCACTGCGAAAGACGACACACATTTGTTTGGTAATTCGTTTTTTTTTGTGCCAGGTTGGCAGCACTGCTTTGAACAGCTGATTGAACGTGAATACGAGACTCGTTACGCAAAATCAGCCATATCATGATTTGTAGACTACACAATAACTCGGTTTTAGGCCAATTTAAATAGCAGTTCTCGACAAATATAGTTGAAAGATAAGTTCTGAAAGTAAGCAGCATTTTATATTTAACATAAAATTGTGAATTTAGCAATTTATGGAGTATTCAGTTTTCGTGGTATAAAGTTCTTGTAATGATGCGCGCATAAACCTTGAGAGTTTCTGCTTGTGTTGACGTTGCCAATTGAAGAAAATATGAGCGCAGCACTGGAGGATCAGGATCGCATACAGAAGCGCGTCAATAAAATCCTTGAGACACGCCTGGAAACGGACAAGGACACGCTTGATGCGCTCAATGGACTCTCCAGCTTTTTCACAGAGAATACCCTGCAGAATCGCCGCAATCTGCGCAGCCAAATCGAACATCGCTCGGTTGGCATCAATGAAAACTTCCTGAAGGCCTTTCGTGAGGTGAAGCTCACTTTGGATGCCGTGTGCACGGATCTGGACACGATGGCCATGTCGGTGCAAACCATGAAGACGGATCTGGAAACATCCAAGGCGCTGACAAAGGATCTGATCGAACAGACAAACAAAATGCAACAGGAGCGCGAACGATTGGAGGTGCATCAACAAATAGCCCAGGCATTTTTGGCACGCTTTCAGCTTAGCGTGCCGGAGCATCAGCTGCTCTACGGCACCGCCAAGGATGCGCCCATTGTGGCCGAGTTCTTCAAGGTGCTGGATCGCGTACAGTCCATACATTCCGATTGCCGGCTGCTCATGCAGTGCGGCTATCAGACGGCCGCCCTGGACATTATGGAGGAGATGACGCTGCATCAGGAGGGTGCACTCGAGCGTCTCTATCGCTGGACCCAGAACCATTGCCGCAATCTGGAGAACAATGAGATCGGACCGCTCATCGTGGAGGCGATGAGTCGCCTGCAGGACAGGCCGGTGCTCTTCAAATACGTCATCGATGAGTATGCGATTGCGCGTCGCGCCGTGCTGGTGCGCCAGTTCATCGAGGCCCTCACCGAGGGTGGACACGGCGGCAATCCGAAGCCCATTGAGCTGCACGCTCACGATCCCAAGCGCTATATTGGGGACATGTTCGCCTGGCTGCATCAGAGCATACCCAACGAGAAGGAGAATCTGACGCTGCTCTTCAAGAAGTGCGATAAACATGGTGAGATCAGATCCTCAATTGCCTGTTCTAGCGCATAAAGAGCTGTTTGCTTTCAGATATTTCGGAGCAAATGCAAAAGGCGCTCAGCTACATAGCCGACGGAGTCTGTCATCCGCTTAAGGTGCGCGTGGAGACCATCTTGAGCTCGGAGCAGGACACCATCATATTGTTTACCATCTCGAATCTGTTGCGTTTCTATCAGCAAATCATGAAGCAGGTGGTGCAGGGCGGCAGCCTGGAGCAGTGCCTCATCGAGCTGCAGCAGAGCAGCGAGCAAATCTATTTGAATGCCCTGGCCGCCCAGGTGCGCAGCGTGCTCCAACGGCCAGCGGGCAGCAGTCTGGCGCTGGAGCCACCGCAACGCGATCTGGTGCCGCCGGCAAGCGTCTCGCGCCTGCTTAATATACTGAAAGAGATCCTCTCCGTGGCGACCATGGTGGACGGTCGCCAGGCGGATATAACCAAAATTGTGACCTGTGTAATCGATCCGCTGTTGCAGTCGGTGCAGGAGAGCGCCGCCCATTTGCCGACCGTGGACATGGCCGTCTATTTGCTCAACTGTTTGTATCACATGCAGAGCACCTTGGCGGTGTTCGAGTACATGGATGAGCGCGTGGAGCGGCTGCAGGCACAGTCCGATGCACAGCTGGACACGCTCACCTCCGAGCAGGCCTCCTCGCTGGTGGCCAATCTCAATCTGGGCCCCATTTACAGCATATTGCAGAGCAATCAGACCAAGATCGAGACCAATTTACTAAAGATTTTCATGTCCAAAATGGATGCATTCCTGGAACTGCCCGATGTGCTGCTATTGCCGCAGGTGCAGCTAATCATGTCCAGCAGCCATCGCAGCACCGTCCAGCGACGCGCCTTCAATGTCATTGTCGCCATCTACAAACAGATCTATGAGCGTGTACACGATCCGGCCAATGGCTTCGAGCAGCCCGACCTGCTGCTGCACAAAACGCCCGATCAAGTGGCACGCATATTGGCCACCTAATAACCTTTTGGACTCCCAGCCCATGTCTATTCATATATACATATATATTATAATATATGTTTACTGTACTTCATTCCTATTGTTATGCCTGTTGTCTCGCCTTGCTTATACCCTTACCCGTGTGTCATCCCACGTAGAGCGCACAGTTAGCTACACACTGTAAGTACAGTATACATTCTCATAGTAGAACAAAGGTAAGTCAACTACAGTGAAACAGACCCTGTCTCTCTCTCTCTCTCTCTCTTTCTCTAGGTAATTGTAAATTGAAACACTTGATGGATCTTTTAGTCTTGTTCATTTTAGCGAATGTGCTCTGTATATTTTTCGTAATTTTCCGCTAAATATTCGTTTGGCATTTCTTTAATGCCCTTCTATAGGGTATTACAATTTGTTCATGGAATATGTAACACATAGAGAAAGATATTACCGAGCTCTTAAAGTATATATATTCTTGATCCTAAACACAAGCTTTTCAATTATCTGGAAAACCTGGTAAATCATATTTAGACAAGGGTATTCAATCTTCGGCGCGGCGAGTTTATCATACTCTTTGTTATTTATTTTTTTTCGCGCCTATTCAAAATGCACAATAGACTCATATATATATTTTTATTTATTTATATGTACTTAAAAGACGCGGATGTGTCGCCCTCGTCTGCTTCTCGTCTTCTGTCAATTGTGCGCTTATCAAAACGAGAACCCTAGCAAAAAAAAAATAATATAAATTTAAAAAAAAAGAGCGCTGCTTAAATTAGTTATAAATAAATAATTTATAGGAAAGGCAGAGCGCTGCCGAAAGTGCTCAAGTGTTGGCCTTGTTTATCGTCGCGATTTCTCACAAAAAAGTAACGCAAATCTTTTGAGCGCGTCATTAGTTAAAGAATTTGACGTCGTTTATCGCAGCAGAGTTGATCCGCTACCGCCCCGCCCCGCCCCGCCTACGCCCACACTCTTAACTAATTACACATGTTGCGGCCCAAAGTGCTGGCAGTGCGTCCGCAACTGGCCAAAAACTGAGTCCATTTGTAGCGGATCTCGTTTCGGTTTTATCTATGCCTAAGCACAAAGAATTCTGCAGTCCAGACCTTCTTATCGCGACGTGCGGAAGCTGTGCCGCTTCGTAAGTGCTTCGATATACATATAAAACAGAAACAATATTATAAATTTAAGGTTTTATAATGCTAAACTAAGCGAAACTTAAGGTTTAGATATACAATATGCGTGTGTGTGTGTGTGTGTGTGTGTTAGTTCAATCGATCTGTTCGCTTTAGGTAATTGTCACTGTGGCACGCTGGAAGAGCTCCAATGTGAGGCCGGCAAAGAAAGCGGGAAATGAGTTATTGGCCGCCAATTGCTGATCGATGGCCGGTTTCAGTGTCTGCGAATAGGGCGATTCGAGCAGTGCCAGGCAGTTGGACTCGTTCAAGCTTATGGACAGATAATCATCGGGACTTTCCGCATACATGCTCGAAATGCTGTGTTCATATAACAAAAATGTGCAATTAGTTTCGAGGCTCTTTACAGAATATATGTATATAAATATATAAGCCCACCGATAGTGACTATTGGCGCCCACGCGATCAATCCTGTAGCCCAAGAGCATGTAGCAGACATCGCGAAACTCCTTGCTGGCCGCCTTGAAGCAATCCTTCATCTTTTTCATTTTGCCATTGGCCGATTCCAGTTCGGCGCGCAGCTGATTGAACTCCTTGAAGTTCATGGTCATGCCGCCGCCGGCGCTGCTGCTGCCGACAGTCTCATTGAAGCGAGCCTGCGTCTGTTCCTGGTCCTCCTCCAGCTTCTTGTTGCGACGCTTGAGGCGCTCAATCTGTAAGCAGAAAATTTGACGCTTAGCTAAAAGCAAATCGTCTCGAGCAATTAACACGCACCTCTGCCTGGAGCTTCTCGACGACATTTTTGGTAGCTTCGTAGGCATCCGCAGCGGGATTCTCGCTTAGATGCAGCACCTTGTAGTTGCCCATGTTGAAGTCGCCGCGCAGGCAACGATGCTCCAATTCCAGTTCGAGCTCATCCTTGCGCCGACGCAAACGTTCGTTCTCCATGCGCAGCGTGTCCAGTTCCCGTTTGACGCTATCGTAGCCGTTCTCGCTGATCGGCGGATCGTTGAGCGATTCCTGCTGGCGCATCGATTGCATTTCGCGCTCCAGCGTCGAGCACATCTCCTTGTAGCCGGTCAGAGTGCGCTCCAGCACCTCGACGCGATAGCGCACCTGCATATCGTTGGTCATTTCGGCGGTGCTGGCATTTGTCATATTGAGATCCTTGTCGAAGTTCTCCAGCAGCTGCTTGTAGAAGTCGCGCTCCTTGCAGACAATCAACAGTTTGCGCTGTAAGCGCTCCCGGAAACTTTTGTGGCGCTTCAGCACCACGTTCATGTCCTCAATGTTCTTCAGATAGACGGCGCACTTTTGCTCCAGCTCGCGCAGTGAGGACTGCAGCTGCTTGGAGTCGGAGTCGGCGCTGCCCTTCTCTGCCATGCGCACTATGTCATCCTGGAGCAGCTGCTCGATGCGCGTGCGCAGCGCCATCGGGCTGACCAGCGTATTGGGCAGGCAATGGTCCTGCGCCACTTTGACCCATTCCTTGAGCTCCTGCTCCACGTGCGTAAGCTTCACCTGCAGCGTGGCGGCCTCGGCGCGTGCGCCCTCCTCCCGATCCAGGCGTGTCTTGTAGTCGTG